CCCTGGGCAAGTCACTCAACCCCAATTGCCTCGCAAAAAAAAAATCCTTCCAGTGATAACACACTACAACCCATCCATGTCTGCCAATCTTGTTCAGCTTGGCTATATTTTCCTATAAATATAACACAGAGTGTTCACATAACCAACTGGAAACTTTTACTTTACTGATATCATAAGCTTATCAGTGGAGTATATGGGTTATACCCTTGGTTATTTCTCTCACCATGTAATCAGCACCTCTTTTTCAATATATATTTCTTTCATGAAGGGAGAGGGGTGGGGAAGAAACACAAACTCTCCAAAGTCTCAAAAAAACCAGACAGCAGTTTTAGACTTCAGTATTTCTTCCTTCAAACTGCAAAATACATAACTATTACAATCCCATATTTGCTCATGCTTCAGACATTTTAGAAGTATTATTTGTTTTCCCTTGTAAACATTTATTTTCTTTGCAAGGCAGTTGGATAACTATACAAATGATCACTGTAGAACACTTACTGACTTCCTTAAATAACAACAACAACAAAAAAAGTACTGTGGGCGCAAGAGACACACTATCTGTATGTTCTGGGTCTGTTTCTTTTAATCCTGTGTGGAATTTTGTTTTAGAATTGTCAGTTCATGCTAATGCTTCCTGCTTATCAAGGGATTTTCCAGGTCAGTCCTGTGTTCAGTCAATTGAGAGCTACTCCTCAAAGGAGAAAAATGATGCTGTGTTCAGAGAAGTCCTACTACCACCTTCACGTGAGCCTTTTTTTCTGATCCTTTCCCACTGTTCCTACTCTGACCGAAGAACCAGATGTGCCCCATCAGAGCCATTTTTATGTCTTTCCAGTTCTTGGAGTATCCAGGCCACCACTGTTTTATAAGAAAATTCATCATTAGAAATTGAAATATAAATCTTAAAGGATGTATACTTTTCATCACCTCTGGTGGCACTGGTATTATTTTTTTTTTTCAATATTAACTAAGTGTTCACCTAACACTGTTTTAGGTGACATTATCAAAACTCATTTCATCAGTGTAAATACTAACTTGTGAATAGCTTAATCACTTAGTTTACTAGAAGCATTTACGTTTTTCAATGAGAATGATTGTTAACTGAAATGAATTTTATTAGTGAAATTAATTGTAACAAAGTGGATTTGAAAAAAAAATAGGCAATGTAGATGAGAACTTCTAAGGGGTAGAAAAGGTGATTTTTCTTAAGTGTCTGTCCCTAAGGCAAACAGTCTTTATTAGTTGCTGTTTTCCTTATACTACTGTCCTCTACTTCTGAAACTTTAAAAGCTCCAAATTTTTAGAGCTGAGCAGAGGATTCTAATTGGAGTGTCATTAGGAATTCCTGAGGTGGAGGAAGAGAACATGAGTGGCCAATTATATGTATGAGTCCCTTGTAAATTGAATGTATGTAAGTCAGGGACTACTTTCCGTTAACAAAACCCACTTTGTAATTAAATATTAACAAAAGTAAATACAGATAACCATTGGAGCAATAACCAAATTGACAAAACATTTACAGCTCAAACAGGAGCTTTTAACTTTCTAATATACTTCTGTATTATATGTTGCACACTGCCCATTCAAATATTGACATTAAAACCAAGACCCTTACCTTCTGTGTGCCTGATCTTTCTAAGGACCCCTGTGCTCTGGGTCACTTTTGCTCTTGTTCTTCCCAGCCTTCTCCCTGAAAGGAGTCTTTCAGAACCTAATATGTTAGGAATTGTTCTTTTGCAATATAATCTGTGTTCTTACAATCAGCCTATCCTCAGTTAATCTGGAAGGTGAGAGGCAGTTTACTTCTTTCTGGCTGTCCTCTTGTCTCTTTTCACAACTCAGCTATATGCTTTCTGAAAAGAATTGTGCAAACCCTTGTTGGGAGTAAAGTACAATATTTCTTTCTTTCACCTCTAAAGTGAATCGATACCATTATTTGCAGTTTCTCTTCCAAGCTTAATCCCCAGGCCTGCTCTCCAGTATAACCAACCAGCTACTGTATCCATTGCCAGGAGGCTTACCTTCCTCATGTTGACTATCTAAAGACTATATCTACCTGCCTTCAAAATAGAGTCCAGATAGCCTCTCCCAGCCCGTGGTTCCCCGCCCCCCCCAATCAATGAGAGAGAGATATAAACTGGGAATGCTGGGGTGTTTTATACTTAGCTAATGTTTCTATTCCTGGTCAAACTAGTTTTAGATGTAATATAGGTAGATTATCATGGAACAACTACTTAAGGAAACACAAGTTATCAAAATTTATAGCTCTTGTGCTATATCTTTTTAAATTAAAAAAAAACACCCTGTTGACTAGTCTTTCTGAACACTAACCAATATGGCATAACCAGATACTAATGTCCCTTTCTTCAACAGTTTCTGAATTGTGAAATTATATCAAAGCCCCCAAAAGACTAGCTTGAATAGCTTGTTATTCTTGAAAATATAATAATACAAAGTTAAATTTAATTAGCCTTTCAGCTATTGAAATATATGTATCAGTTTGGTATGATGAATAGAGAGAGCCTGCTTCAAAGCCAGGAAGTCTTAGATTCAAATTCTTTGACATAAACTGGCTGTGTAACTTTCAGTAAGTCACTTAACATCTCAGGGTGCTAAGATTATGAATTACAGGGTAGATGTTGACCTGCATTAGTAGAATTTTTCCTCCTGGAAGCTCCCTGGGTATGTAAATTACCCAGGTTTCACAAGGAGAGGTGGCCATTTCCTTGCCTGGCGTATTCTTCTCCATACAGATGTGATCTGGTTTCATCATGTTCTCTTCAGCTCCCTCTATCATTCCTGTCCTCCCTAAGCTTTAATCTTCCTGTCTGCTGACTGCTTCCCTGCTGCCTGCAAACATGCCAGTATCTTCCGTCTTCCTCAAAGAACCTTTACTTTACCTGTCCCTTCCCACTGGCTGTTGTCCTTTCTCTCTCCTCGTTTTCATGACTAAACTCCTTGAGAAGGCCATCTATGATAAATGTTTCTGCTTCCTTTCCTCTGACTCTTCTTAACTCTCTGAACCTTCTCATCTTATCACTCAAGTGAAAATGCCCTCTCCACAGTGACCAGAGGTTTTCTGATTGCGGAATCCAAAGACCTTTTCTAGATCCTCGTCCTCCTTTTTTTTCCACAGCCTTTGACACTGTTGATCATCTCAGTCCTGATCTCTTCTCTTGAGGTTTTCTTGACACTCTTCTTCCCTGATTCTCTTCCTACCTGTTTTACCACTCTTTCTCTGTCTTTTTTGCTGGATCTTCATCCAGAATGTGCCCGCTAACTACTGTTATCCCTTCAGGCTCTGTCCTGGGGCCCTTCTCTTTTCCTTGTGTACTGTTTGGTCTGGAGAGATCATCAGATCCCATGGATTCCATAGATCCCATCTCAGTGCAGATGATTTGCAGATCTGTTTCCCCAGTTTCTAACCTTTGACCTCCCATTTGATATCTGGAATTGAATGTCCTGTAGATATCTAAAACTTAACTTGTCCAAAACTGAATTCATTCTCTTTCATCAAAAACCTTCTCCTCCCCTTAATTTTCCTACCACTGCCCTCTCGGTCCCTCCAGCTCACAACCTACTCATCCTGGGCTCCTCACTTTCTCACTCCCCACATCCAATCTGTTGTTAAGGCCTGTTGACTTTACCTTCAGAACGTCTCTCTTCTGACCCTGCTACCAACCCTTTTGCATAGCCTTCTGGTTGGTCTCCCTGGTTCAGTTCTTTCTCCACTCCAGTCATCTTCTACTCAGCTACCAAAGTGATCTTCCTAAAGAGCAGGTCTGACCATGTCACTCCTCTACTCACTAAGCCCTAGTGGCTTCCCATTACCCGTGGGATCAGAATCTAAAATCCTCACTTTTGTTTTTTGAAGCCTTTCATAATCTGACTTTTTTTTTCTTTTTTGGGGGGGGGTGAGGCAATTGGGGGTAAGTGACTTGCCCAAGGTCACACAGCTAGCATGTGTCTAGTGTTTGGTGTGAGGCCGGATTTGAACTCAGGTCCTCCTGCCTTCAGGGCCGGTGCTCTATACACTGTGCCACCTAGCTGCCCCATAATCTGACTTCTTTCAATTTTCTAGTCTTCTTATACTTTGCTCCCCTCCACTGTACTTTATGATCCAGTGACAATTGCCTCCTTACTGTGTTCAAACAGGACACTCCATCTCCATAACTGCATTCTCACAAGCTGTCCCCAGTGCCTGGATGTTTTCCCTCCTAGTCTCGGCTTCTTGGATTCCTAGGCTTCCTTCAAGTCTTAGCTTCCACAAAAAAACCTTTCTAGTCCCCACCTTATCATTAATATCTTCCTTCTGAGGTTGCCCCCATTCTACCTTCTATGTACCTTGTTTATGTATAGTTATTTTTATGTTGTCTCCTCTGTTAGAATGTGAGCAGAGATGTTTTGCCCTTCCTTTGTATCCCCAACACTTAGCACTGTGCCTGGCATAACTGACTTAACTATAATTAACTAAGTCACAGTTTCAGCTTCTAATCCTATTTATCATTAGAGATTAGAGATAAAATCAATTCAGATAATTAGAATTAAATAATAATTATTTCATACATTGTTTAGTTATAGAACATTATTAATACATGATTTTTATGACCCAGATTTATACTTTCTGACAGTTTTCCCTAATTCAACTACTGGGAAATTTATGTCAGACTTTGTATTCTGATAGAGATTTTTCCACAAACAAGGTCTATTTATGTGCTGGAAAATGGGGGAGATATGTCAACTCCAACTCCATGCAAAATGGAATCAATTTTGGATGAATTCTAGAATATTAGTCCAATTTATTTGTTATCTTACAATGGACAATGCCTAGCGCCAACCTTTTTGGAGGATCCACACATTAACATTAGTCTGTTTATACAAAATGAATAAAAGAAGAGAAAGTGGTCTGAACATTATAGAGAACTCAATAATATTGACTAATATCTAATTACTTTGAATATAATTTAATTTGACTTAAAATGCTTTCAAAGAAGGGACATTTCTTTCAAAAGTATCACTTTCTACATTAAGGAAAGAAGAATCAGTTGCCGTTTTGTATAACTTTTGGCAAATGCATTGAAAAGTAAGTATAATGTCTTTTCTCTTAGCAAGTAGTCCCAGCCAGGAATGATGGCACTTATCTGTAATCCCATCTCTCAGAGAGAATCTCTTGAGCTAGTGAGTTCTGAGCTGCAGGGGATTATGCTGATCATCAGGTTTCCACACAAAGTTCATCATCAGTGTGACAAACCCCCAGAAATAGGGGACTGCCAGGTTTCCTAAGAAGCAGTGACTGGCCCAGGTTAAAAATGGAGCTGATCAATGTTCCCATGCAGATAAGTAGTGGAATTATCCCTTGAATAGCCTCTGTACTTCCATGTGAGATGGTGAGATTCTGTCTTAAAAACAGACAACAAGTAGACAAAACAAACAAAGTAGTAAATAAAAGTAGGCCATTAATAAATTTCAAGAATCATTTCATTTTCGTGTTTTGGTAGTATGAGCTTTAGTGATAGCATCTGTTTGGTTGATATGCCTAAACCACTTATTCATTATATTTAGAACTGGAATAATTTTCAGCCCATCTGGGCACAAAATTGGTCATATTCCAGCTAACATTTGTAACCTATTACTTGTAGATTTTCTTTCACATTATAATACAATATGTCAAGATGAAATCTATGATCATTGGAAGTTACTAATTTGAAAAATCTCTCTGTCTCTGGATTACTAAAATTAATATAAACGTCTGTAACAGTCTTAGAATCCTACACAGTCCTACTTCCCTTGACATTGGAATCCTAGCTCAAAAACATGTAGCTTTAAAAAAAAATAGCAAATTTCCCAGTTAGAATTTAACAGAAGAAAATATTTCTTCTTTCTCATTTAGGAATTATACTAGATGAAGATTCTGAAACTCCTGTATCAGAGAAGGAAACCATTTTAGTAACATATTATTTTAATACTAAACCACCTGCAAAAGGAACTTGAATTATGTCACAGGTCAAATAAGCAGCTCCTTCTTCAGTCATTTTTAAGTTGACATCAGTTTTATCCAACTGTGTAGTAATTGATTCTTTCATTAGAAATGATGACACTATCAGATACCAAGGAAAGCTACATGAATTTCAAGGTTTTAAATTTTAAGGTTTAGATGTTAAGAAAAAAATTAACTAGTTTTGTTGTAAGATACCTTTTTTAAAAATATGCTCATCGTTTTTACTTCTTTTTTAATTAAAAGGAAAAGAAAGTAAACGTGGTGGAAAGGAATTGTTTATTGAAATAGCAACTGATGCTAGGCTCCACAGAATAGTTCATCAAAGCTTGTGATCTAGAATGGTGTGTATTCAGTTCTGAGGGATTTCTGGACAAGTTTTGGTTAATGGTTTGTATACCACATTTCTTTCTATGTCTCCTAGATGAAATGCATGGAGAAATGTCATTTGAATTCCAATCTCACTACTTTAAAAGATCTGTGATTTCATTACTCTTTTGTGAGTACCCCCTCTACCCACACAAGTCAAACCATCTTCATGCTTAAGGGCAGTGGTCCCTGAAGTGAGGGACACAAAGCTATCCTTTGGGGTGTGGCAAGAAAATATTAGCATTTCTACTTATTTTTTAATCTAAAGGAGAAATTAAGCTTTATTAGTTGACTGGCACACATATCAGTTGGTCATGTATCATCTACAATATTTAAGGTGCCCTGGGGGAAGAGTGGTAGCACCACAGTACAAAGGGAGTGACAGAGGTTTCCTTACTTATTCATTTGGATTCCTTGTATTGAAAAATATTGTAGTTTATGTTCACCTTGTTAATCAGATTTGCAGATTATATTATTTAGTTTTAACTGGGGATAGGGACCATACCTGTGATTTCACTGATAAAGGGAGCTCCCAGGTGAGGAAATTTCCTCTACCAGTGCATATTGGCATCTTCTATGGAACTTAGTTGCTTAGAGCACTGACTGGATAAGTGACTTGCCCAAGGTCACACAGGTAGTATGTGTCAGAGTTATGACTTCGTTCCCACTTGACCTGGCTTCAAGGCCAGCTCTCCAACCACTTCCTATAGCAGGCAGTCTCATAGTTTTAATTAAACCGCATAAAATGGGTAAGTGACTGTAAAATATTCCTGCCGCCTCAAAAAAAAAAAAAAAACATGGCAAGAAGATAATATGAATAATCTGTCATAAGTGCAAGCAACCAATAAAACTAGTGGAAAAGTAAATACTTCTAGTGTGAACTTTTTGTCAGCTACATTAGAAGATAAAACCATCAAGATTATTGGAATATAGATTTACGTCCATTGTAATTAGCAATAAGCCTCTCCTCAAATATATATTGTAACATATACCTTGACATTTTAACTAAAAATAGTATGCAACCATCAAAATTAGCAAAATATTGAAAAACTTAAGCTTTTGTTGCAGAAAACAAGTTTAGTATATCACAAATAAAACCTCTCACGAGTCTTCTGTCCCTCAGCTGTCCCATACTGAGACTAGCACAGGGTACCAGAAAGTGGAGCACACCAGAACTCTCTAAGAAGGCACCTGTGTCCTCCAGTGCCCCACACTTTACCCCGCCCTGTCTGCATCTCACTGATTTTCCCTAACAGAGCAACTTAAGGACCCCTAAGACTTATCTTTGGTCCAGCTGTTGACCTCTCCTATACGTGTTGTCTCTCCCAACTAGAGTTTGAGTTCTAAAAGCAGGGAATGAATGCCTGGCTCTATTATTTGTATTCCTAGCACTTAGCACAGTGTTTGGGCACCCAGTAAACACTTTACAAATGCTTTTTCCATTCCATTCCACACAAACTTGGAAACAGAATTTTCTTACCCATTTAAAAGCCTTCCAGTTGAAGAATTTCAGTGGATTTTGAACCCATTGATTGAAAACATAAAAATGCAACACTTTTTGATTAGCTCACAAGAACAATGGATTGACAGTAGGGATGATACTAGCAGGAATGTTTCATACATATATACCACTGTGTCAACCAATTATACAACATGAATGCTTTCTCAGGTGTCTTCAAGTAGTTTTTACTCTTTACTCTGATAGGGAAAGCTCAAAGCTATGGCCACACTTCCTATACTCATGCTTTGAAGTTTATACCCAGAACAAGGAGTGCAGAAGTAGATTTAAAGAGGCTTAGAAAGGGATTTTGTGGGCTTTAAAGGGCAGTGGATTTTATAGGAACCATAAGATTACTACTACTAGAAATCCACCACAATTATTTTGTACTTGAAGCAACTGAAGAAGTCAAGAACATTTTAATGCCTCTATTTCTTGTCTAGTTACACTAGTTACACTTGTCTAGTGGTACTGATTGTTTATAACAAAGACATTGTGTACCTTGAAATCATTAATGTTCTTTGTGTAAAAAATGAGGATAAGCCTAGTTTATATCAATTTTACTGTCTTTTTCCATGACAAAATTTATTTGGGCCAGCCTAGTAGAAAAGTAGGGTTATAATCCATCCTCTGATTAATCACATACCCAATATCTAAAGCAATGGTTTCGAACCCAGATAGAAACAAGAGCCACTAAATCATACATAAGGATCTCTTTGGGCCACATATTGACATTAAGAACCACATATTAACATTATCTATGTTTTATTTTATCTTTATTTTGTTCAGTATTTCCCAGTTTCATTTTAATCTGATTAAGGCTACATTCAGCTTGTGTGTTTGATATATCTCATTTAAAGCATCATGTATTATGTCCAACATTAAGTTTCTAGTCTTTGTTGTAAAACAGAAAATAGTGATGACTGTCTTTACTTTGAGAAAAACCTGTTTGACCAACAATTGATATAATGACTTTATGTTCTTGTGATCATTTTAAATAAGAGACATGTTATTGATATAGGGAGTATGGGTATATAAAATAGCCTTTCACTTCTGTTGTAATACAGATTAATGTTAAGAATTCATCAACACGATCATTTTAGTTAATGAGGCTATTTTGTGTTTTGATAAAAGATAAATTTACCAGTTCAGCTTCTGAAAGAGCATAAAGCAGAAGTCTCTTAGTGGTTTGAAGCTTGCTTCTGTTCCTTGCTCATAGCTGCGTAAGTGTGCTTAAAAATCCTAAGGACTTTAAATTTCTGGGAAGATACTTTGTTGATTCTGTTTGTTGAAATCATATATGGTGCAAGGCTTACAAGCCGTAAGAAACATACCAATGATCTCTTATATAACTTAAACTTGGTTTGAAGTCTGTCATTACCTTATTTCCCCCTAACCATCAGTTTGATCTGGAGCTTGATGGTGAAAGGGCAACAAAGAAAGACAAGATGGAGAAGTTTTGTTTAAAAACAAACAAAGAAAAGCAAACTAAAAGTAGAACTGAAGTTTTCCTTCAGGACAGCTCAGTTGTTCTTTCATTCCCTCCCAAAATTACCTTGTATTCATTTTGGATATATCATGTATATACTTACATATGTACATGTTGTTCCTTTCATTTAGAATGGAAACTCTTTAAGGGCAAAGGAATATTTCACTTTTATCTTTGTATCCCTGGTGTTTAATAAATGTGTATTAATTGGCCAAATTGAGAAGTATAAGTAGGAAAAATCTAATTCAGCTTTCTAAGCAACTTTCCCATAGAAATAACGTTAATATTTATCAGTGTTACCTAGTTCCATGATTAGCTAGGCTAGCTCCTTCCGTCTCTGTGTGTATATATCATCAGATTGAGATTCAAGGATGTAGACCATTTTGAGATCTCTGGTGGCTAATGGAAAGCCTCAGGGGAATCCTGTCCAGTTTCTCCCTTCCTCTCACCTGTCAGCATAGAAAAATTTTCTTATCAATTTTGAGGATCTACTGCAAATATGAGCAGCCTCATATGATTGCTGAGTCAGACATATAATAAGAAGAATGGAAAGTTGTCTTTGGATTTGGCATGAGAATAGATATTTTAACAGAAGAATTTAGTTTAATTAAAGTCTGACCATGAGAAATCAATGCTAGACCCCTAAGAGTTGGGGGGTAGTGGACCCACTCTGTGTTTTGTACCTGGGCTTTCGGTGTGAATATTTCAGTCCCAGAGGGTCTGGACTTTAATGAAGGAGGCTGGCAAAGCCTCTTGGCCCAGTGCCTTGGGGATGATTTGCTTGTGGAACTGGGTTGGGGAGGTCGTTAATGAGTCAACGATTGTGAGAACAGGAAACTTTGCCATCCCCTCATGGCTGACCTCTAAGGTTTACCTAAAAAATGGGACATAAAAGGTACCCATTATAAAATATAAATCATTTATAGGCCAGGTAATTTATTCATATGTACAACCAAATGTAAAAGACTCATTATAAAATGTTAACTATAAAGGACTCACAAATTATCATTTAGCAAAAAATAAATTTAAAAGGGATTCAGTAAC